GTTCACAATGTTATTTTCTGGTCATACGACTTCTACTACTTTTGTTTTTCGCTTTTAAAATCTGCTTCTGTCACCCGTCCGTTAAGTATTCCTTAGCGGTGCACCCTCTTTTAAGAAAACTCATGAATCCACCTCTGAAGCGTCACTAAGGCAAGGATGAAACATGCAAACGCAATGGTAATGGGGCTGATGTGATATTCCCTCTGCGTTTCACTTTCCATCCGTTTGCCAACGTAACAAACGCGGTATTTTAGAAAAATGAGTAAAGTTTGACAATTACGAGCGGAGGACGTGAGATTTTCAAATATTGCAAATGAACTTAACAATTGAGACTGATCAAAACACACCAAAACTGACATGTTGCAAGCAATGCATACTTCGAGCGACCGCTTAATTAACAAAAGTAGTAGTAAAAAAAAGTGGATTACATGACAAAGACAAGCCCTGAACTAGGGTAAAACACATTCAAAATATTGCTGTTGTTACAACAATGAAGTTTTCTTCTGTGGAAAAAGGTGAACAAAGCGCTGACAAAATACGATTACGAAGCATAACAAAAAAAAAATTTAATGCCAGTCTTAAAGCTGATAGTGTGGAATTTGTAAATGTAAGTGTAAGCAGATCCTATCACTCATTTAAGGACCTTATCATTGTATCGTTGTCCAAAATAACTTCGCAGAAATAACTTTGAGGAATGAATACGCTATACTTTGCCGTTAATTTGTGTTTTAGAACGGGAGATAATGGCACTTTCAAATGATTTATTGATATAAATCTGAAAAAATTCCAGCGGATGCTCTCGCATTTTACTATGTAATGCAATCCGAGATAATCTCCTATAATTGTATCTCGCCGCCTCCCTGGCAATGCTCCTCAACGATCTAGCATATTATGGTCTGTACAGTCAAAATTATCACCTGTGTATGGTTTGAATTGCCTGAAATTATCATACCTAATTTCCTCAACATATTGAGCGAGATGCATTAACCGAAAATCGATTCCTTCACTCGGCTGTTGACCTTAGGGGATTTCTCTTCTACAGAGAATGCCGTGACAGAAATGAGTAACGCTAGTGCAGCGGATATTGAAAAGAAACTTAATATGTTGTGGTAGACGTTCTGTTGAGTACTCACACACTGTCAATGGCATCCAAGTGAACAATTATGGTTTGTAAAATTGTTGTTGTTAAAAGTCTCCTTCTCTTCTATTTACTGGTGAGCATCTACGACCAGTCGGCTGGTAAGTACGATAGCTCTGCTTTGAGAGGTTACGCGAAGGTTCAGAGACTTTTTCAATCATTAGGGGGGAAACAGTTTGTAAGACGTGAAATTAGCTACAAGGCACATGAATGATTTGAAGGGTAATGACAACCGCATAATTAAAGAAAGACCCAGATACACGAAAAACGAAAAGATGGTCGCAGAAGATGAATAAGACCGCTATCAGAAAAAGGAGTAAGACACTTATTACTCTGTTTATACTGACCATTCGGCGGATTGTTGCCTAGAATCGAAATCTAATCGTCTTTGGCTTATTGCTGCTTTTCCCATTGAGACACTTATGGCTCTTATAAATGATGAAACATTAATCCTATCTTTGAGTTGCTCGCAGTCATCCTAAAAGAATATTTACATTGCCAACCGATCTAATGTCGTGGAAGAAAATCACTCGCAAAACTTTACAAGTTTACACACGTAAATACTGTTTTTTGTTCATTGTCTTCCTATCAATAATATCTCTTATGCAATTATTATGATTCCACGCTTACACGTCAATCTACTTTGACAAATTCACTTCTAACGTAGATAGATTCTGGTGTAACTTGAATGATTTTGTCCTATTGTTTAAGTTCAAAATCAGCCTTATATCTTCAAAGGGAATTATTCAAAATTGTGTTATAGAGGTTGATCATGTAGTGCACGCACGAAAAGAATGAAATTACTGTTTACAGGATCATGATAGCTTTTCTCGACCGATCTTGGCGAGAAAAGGTCCTGTCCGTTCATAAAATTAACAGGAAAAGTTATAAGATCAAAAATTCGATCTTTAATTGACCACCAACGATTATCACGGAAAGGGAGGTAATCCTTACTTGAGTCTGAAGGAACCCAGAAAGACTCAGTACTCGAGTACCTTGCCACTGATGTGTTTGTACTCACGATGCTTGGTAACAGCTGCACCCCTCACTGCCGGTTAAGTATCTTCGTGTGAAGATATTTGTAGTTTCATTTATAATGTAGTAATACTGTGTTGGCTAATCTCACTGAGAACCATTGCACAATCGACCTGGCCTAAATTTAGTTTTGAAATTGAAAATTTCACATGTTTTTAATGTTCTACGTCGATTATAGTAAGATAAAACATGCATGGAATCACTAAATGACGGGCGAAACAAACGCGCCACCGAGCTAATTCAGGGATCTGTTAATGTACCGCTGTACCTGCGGTACCTATCATTTGATGCTAACCTTTCAGTATCTATTGGGAACTTTAAATCTATCATTTTGATAGAAGTTGGGGGATGCTGTTCTTGTGTGGATTCCTATCGCTATATTTAATAATCATACTAAATTATTTATTTGATCTGCTAAATATTGTTCCACGAGAAGACAAATCTCGTTTTGTCACTCTTATTTTGAGAGATGAGAAGGGGAGGAGAGGGCGATTTACAGGACAAAATCTAAAGAGTAATCCCTTAACCTTACTTGAGCTGCCTGAGTATTGTTTACACTAAGAGCTCTAAGAACGTGACCTTGGCGTAGATTTGGGTTATGTTTTGTCTCTTCTTTTCTTAATCTGCCAAAAGTAGCCATTTTCAGTTTTTGTCGCTCTAATTTTTAATCCATATAGGATATGTTTGTTAGCATTTTCATTCGTCGGTGTCTGAGATTGTGTTGGTGACAGTTATGGAATGTCATACTGAGTTCCGACGACGACAGCTGATCAGCTCTGTCTGGTGAGGTAGTCTCACCAAAGTCAATTTCACTGATCAGCTAAGCTTGGTTCTTCTATAGGACCATCGGTGTGCACGTTTCCCTTTCATTTTCGCCGCTTTTTCATGAAAAACCAAAGAAAATTCCATTTGGATAAGCTCGTATGTGTTGAAACTTAAAATTTCGTTTGTGAAAGCATCGGTGTCAACGGAAAGTATGTTAACTTGCTTTTGGTTTTCGCTTTTGATGAATGAATTCTTAATATAATCAACTAAGAAACTGATTTTATCGTTTCACTTTTTTTCCTCCTCCCAAATTAAGTTTGGGCAAATCTTTCTTTTTTGTTTGTGTCTCGCTCTGTTCGTTCTTATTCCCCTATCCCAATTTGCTTGGCTCTCCTCTTTAATCTATCCTAGTGTTTCCTGTTGTGTTAGACAGATTCAGAATAGATTTTTCTCATTGTATGGTTTGATCAAGCCAATTTTCCATCGTTCTGAGATGGGTTGTGAAGACCGTTGGGTGGGGAGTTTGGAATGTGAAAATGACGAGTGTTGAAATCGTGGATTTCGAAAATTGACGATCCCGCATTTTTCATCCAACCCTTCGGCTTCGAAAAGGTCAAAGAAGTGACAGCTCTGTTTTGTTTATCAGTACAAAATTATTGTAAGACTTTTAAGAGATACCTTTCATTATTTCCTATCATGCAACAACGCAACTAGCATTTGTTACAAAATTACATTTCTGCGTGAATGTTATCGCTGCTCGATAATCTTGGTGGTTTTCCAATGGTACCAAGCTGTTCTGTGTCACCAAAAGATAACAGGATATATCCTAAAATAATTTGAAGTCTCCGGAAAGAGGCTTTTGACTAAAAAGTCGATAATCCTTGATATAAATGTCTATACTTGGTTCTTTAAACAATGAAAACAAATATTAGATAATTTTTGCCCTAAATTTCAACACGTAAGTACAATTAGGTTGAATTGTTGGTTTTCATAATAAGCAAACACATCACGAAATTGTCCCTTATCTTTTTGGAATAGAACGAACAATGTTATAAATGGTCACTGTTTTATTGCTTAAATTAAATATTGCCCCCATAACTAATCCAGCCGCATGACAGTTCAACACTGGTGTCACGCAAAGTAATGAAGGATAGGGGAAAAGGAAAGCCTGGGGGAGAGAAGAAGTTCAGAGGACACCTCTTATTCCATTCTTTCTAATACCAGAAGAAACTCGAAATTTGCATTTTTGAAACAACACGCAAGTTGAAGCGTGGGTTTCCAGATCCCAACGAACGCATCACGAAATATTTTTTATCTTTTTGGGATGCCACACAATGAAATGAAACTACGAAACACCTTTATTAAGCTTAGAAATGATATGTTTTAAACGTCAGTGTTTTATTTTCAATGACGTCTGATTCCGTTAAACTCAGTCTTACTCCATCGCCCACCACACTTAGGTGTCACACAAAGTTAGGAATGAAAGAGGATGGGAGGAACAGGGAAGGAAGACCTGGAGAGAGAGATGCGGTTTAGATGGGACTTTCTTGTTCCACTCCTTCTTGTAGAAGTTCAAATTTCCATTTTATGAAATGACTTAAAATGAAAGACTCTGACTTCAAAATTGTGCTTAGTTTAGCGCAATGAGTGAGGGGAATTCTTTTAGTCATTCTTAGAGTAGAGGGTTGCCGCCAGCATGCAGTTTGTGCTACCGTGACTTATGCATTGAAACTGACAAAGTTTCTAAGATCGATTTTTACTTCGTGTTAGGTAACAGAGAGAAGACTGCTCACCGGCTTAGGAGACAGATTATAAAGGGAGGCCGGTGTCCATTATGGACCACCATCAGGAACTGTTCTACCCTTAAGCAATGTAATTGGGATGTGGACTGTTCTGGTGCTCAGAGGTGCTGTAAGAGCACCTGTGAAACACGTTCGTGCCACGAGCCTATACTTCCAATCAGACCCAATGAAGGTAACTGAGTTTTCACTTTCAAATGGCAAGGAACGTTTTCCACTCCTGCGTTATGTTTTGTTCTTGGTCTTATAAAGATTATTATTACGAATATGGAAAGGAGTCACTTCTAGTAGGAAAGGGTTAGAACCATAGACTATAGACCCTCTTAGGACAGCCTTGGAGTGTTTGATAAGTTGGTTTTGTGACAATGTTTAAGTTTTAAATTGATGCAATCTTTTACTTGTTTTATTTGTTTGTTTTACCCGTTTTAGATGCCTGTCCAAAAGACGAAGCAACGATGGCATCAAATAAAGAAAATTCTGACTGTAGACTGACAAGAACCAGATTCTGTTTTAAAAGGAATTGCAAAAGGTAATATTTGACCAAGGTAATTTTAGAATTTTTACGTCATTTAATACCTTTCGTCGCTTTAGCACAGTCGTTTTTAAGAGGCGGACAGTTTAGAACTCTTTTCACTTACGTTTTCTACAAATCTCTCGTCCAAACTCTAAGCTTGAAATCTGAAATGCTTCTGGTCGCCTATCGCCTTTCTCGAAAAACGTCCCTAATATTTTGATGAAAGATAGCTATTACTAAAACGTGACCTAGCTGTTTCAAAAATATTTGCCTCACTGGAAACGCATAGGATGTTTTTATGGAATCTTAATTCATTTAAGGGAGACATTGCACCATAAAATGAATACTTGACTGAATGATTAGCAAACTATAGGATACGTCGCATACTTAGTCACTCCAATGTCCCGCTAATTTTGACCAATTCCGAGAATGTGCTCAATGCCGTTCATGTCACTTCACTCAAAGTAATTCAAAATTTCCATAATTCGAGAATCGTGCTTATCTCGAGTGGTTTATCCCCTTAATTTTTACTTATCCTTAATTGTACTTTTTTAAGGAATGTCAACATGCGAAAACTTAGCTATGTGCTTTACTTAAGGACCCTCTTCTCTCGGCAAGTACACTTGTATGCATGTCGAAAGCAAGCGGGAGCTACAGTATTATAAAGGCCAACTCACCACTGCATTCTTTCGCGACTTTTCAAGCTGATACAATGGGTAAATGCCTGTAGTCTTCAAGAAAAGTAATGCCCATAAGACAATCGAAGTATTACAATGATTCTTTTTTTTTTTTTTATAGATGCTGTTTTCACCATAGCACGTGCAACCCTCACCGCGAGCTTCTTATGTCTAGAGAAGCGTGTCAAAAAGGTAAATTCTGTTAGTTGGTTATTTTAAAGCAAAGCAGCAAATGCTTTACGTTGTGGGGAATTTTATCCAGAGGCCTCTAAGGTGACACAACAGCAGAAAATTTCCCTTTTTTGCAGCGCTGGGGCAAGTGTTTTTTCAGGGCAAATTCTACTTTTGCAAAACAGACAAGCCAGCTCGTGAAGCTGGATACCACTCAAAGTAGACAACAAAGTCAAAAGCGCGGTTCCTTAGCCAGTATCGTTTCTTCAGGAAAGGAAAAGGCTTACAAGTTTGCTTTGTTAAACTTGCTCGAGCAAGTGCCCTCAAATTAAAGCATTGTTTTGATCAGAAATCAAAAACCTATCAGCTTGGAATATTTCAATAATAATTTTAAAAGTCCTTTCATAATCAACGTGCCAGTTTTTCAGTCTCTCAGAGGATGATACTTTTTCTATTGCACAGTTCTTTGTTCTCGGAGGAAATGTGAATACCCTGGGGAAGTTTGCAGGTTGGATAGATACGATTCTCCCAGGTGTTCCTGTCAGTCTAAATGTCCAACACCTCGCCCGGAAGAGTCAGTGTGTGGAACGGATGGCATACCATACAAGAGTTATTGTGAACTAAATAGAACAGCTTGTATTCTGGGGGCAAAGGATATCACCATCTATCACTATGGAAGCTGTAAGCCAAGTAGGTACCTCGTGAATTCATTAGACAAAGCAATAGCTGACTGAAGACAAGTGATCATTCTTAAGTACTTTTAAGCAATACAATTTAAGAGGAATTCAAAGAAATTAAGCAAACTTATAAACAAACAATAGAAACAAAAGTGAATCAGGCAAGTGGTCTTTGGGAGAATTCTGGAAGGCATTGCAAAAATAAGATTCAAAATTATTTCTATAGTTATTTAAGATTAGATCCTTTGTGTGATCAGATGGGGTGAGGCTGAAAGTCAGCGCAGCGCATAAAAGCAGGCAAGTACTTCCCGCTTATGAAAAAGGAGAACTGAGATGCCGCTTCGATGGTGATCCTTTAAGCATCACGTGGAAAAAGGTTGGGCTTCGAGGACTGCCAAACCGAATGATACCAGAAATGGACAAGTTGAATATCCAGGATGTAGACATGCGCGATGGTGGGATGTATAAATGCCAGGCATATGACGGATTTTTGACAGTGGAAGCCGAAATATCTGTCATTGTCAACGGTAAGAGCTCACTCGAAAAAATATGCAGAAACCTTATTTTCAGCGTGCCGAAGCGTAAACTATTTGGTTATCATTTCATGAGAAAAAATGCACAAAATGTTTCAGTCAATAAACATGTCACTTTGTCTTACTTTCTTGCAAACCTATGACGTTTACAAATGGCGGGTTTTAATTTGTTTTCCCTCACTATTTCGTTATGATCGAAAAAAGTTCTATCGCTCAATTGATTGTCAACAATGCTTCAAAGGAAATAAAGGGCTCAACTAAACCCTAGAATCGCCTTGTTTTTTTTCTCCTCTAAGCGTAGGAAGAACAAACCAAAAACAAACGCTGCTTTCGGATCATCGTTATCTTAGAGCTTTTTATTGATAACTATAATCATATGGTCGCGTCACTCTTGTGTTGAAATTAGTTCTGTAATTTTTTTTATCTTCATCGAAGAAGTTCAGATTAGCAGCTCAGTCAGCTTTTGTTTTAATACGTAGGTAAGCCTTGTTCCAATTCTGTGATACGACTATTTGAAACTGCAAAGTACCAAGTTTCCGACCAGTTTTATCTTTTTTCAGGGCCAACTCCTGCTAGCAACAGAAGCAGCATGTCTCGTGCTGATTGTTTACAACCCCGGAGCACCGGATACTGCAAGAGGCACGGTGTTCGGTGGTACTTTGATGGTAAAGATGGTGTCTGCAGGTCATTTGCTTACGGTGGATGTGGTGGGAACACAAATAATTTCGAGACCCAGGAAGCCTGTAATTCAGCGTGCAGTCATGCGGGTAATTTCTAGACAAAAGAAATATTTTGAACCAGAAATCGTTAGAATTACTGTGCGCTATTTGGATACCACGCGTCACAGATGTGTCGAAAAGTAGCGCTATGTTAGGCCATATGACTCTCCCCAAGGAAGTTTTCTCAATACCTAACACTCGATATCTAAAACAGAAAACCAACGAAACGAAACATTCTAGATTTTTTTCGCCTTTCATTAATCATCATCGAAATTGATTGAATTCCTCAATCACAGCTCAGTGACGCGAGCTTTCAATTCCTCTGAATATTTCACGCGTCCCGTGATACGATAGGTCCACTGCATGATGAACGAAAGCTCAATGCTCATTTTTAATGATGCAACCGCGCTATAGTTTGATTTTGTTAAAAAAGCTCAGTAAACAACAAGCAAGTAAATCATTATTATTTAAAGGGGTAAGTCTCTAAAGAAACTGTGGTGCTGCGTCGGTGGGAGAGTATAGCAGGTAATTTAGTGTTAACAACTGGGTTGAAAACGTAAATTAGCCACCGTAATGAGTAAAAAAGCTGACGTTTCGAGCGTTAGCCCTTCGTCAGAGCGATTGACGAAGGGCTAACGCTCGGAACGTCAGCTTTTTTACTCTTTACGGTGGCTAATTTACGTTTTCAACCCAGTTGTTAACACTAAATTACCTGCATTATTATTTAATGCTGTTTGCTTGTAGAGTTCACACGACAAATTCTATCTTTAACGTAAGAGCTTTGTGCCTCAGCGGGTCAAAAATTAATGCAACTTCAAAGGACATGTATTGTCGGTTTTCATCAGCTTAAACTTTAAATAAATTTTGTTTTAATAATAGCTTTTTAATGCTGAGCTTGCATTATAAAATCATCTTTCATTGTACTTTGTATCTTTTATTTATTTTTTTTTAGCTGGTGATATCTGCAGTTTACCAAAGGTCGAGGGCCTTTGTAAAGGTTTCATACCACAATGGTTTTACAATTCGGATAGAGGGCGTTGTGAGCAGTTTGTGTATGGAGGATGTGGGGGCAATGCAAACAAATTTAACACCAAAGCGGCATGTCTAATGCGTTGTGCAGGTAATTGAAACAAACAAACAAAAAGACAAACAATCAGGCTAAGGGAAAAAAAAACACGCGCTACAGCACCTAGTGAAAATAGATCCAGCTTCCATTAAGGGCCAATGACCCTTTGGAAGCAAGGAAATAGGAGCAAGACAATGTCACTTATTCGAAGATTTAGCATCATGATAAATATATATTTAATGTAAAAACTATAATTCCTCTTACTATTGCTTACTTTTAGCGAATCCCTCGGCGAACACCCCATGTCTGCGACGTCAGTTTGAAGCCAGACGAAATAAGCGTCTTGGAGTATTTGTGCCGAGATGCCTGTCTGACGGAAGATATGCTGGCGTGCAGTGTCACGGATCGATTTGCTTTTGTATGGATGAAGAAGGGGACGAAGTTTCTGGTACCAGAGTTAGCCGCCATCTTCCGCTTAACTGCACGGGAACAAATCAACTTCCGCCCGGTAACTTCAGGTTTATTTTCTCCTTGATGCCATCGCTTGCTACACAAGTAACGAGAAAAATCGAAGTAACTGACACTGTACTGTGTGAAAGTTCTCATAAGTAGGGTGAAATCAATTATACGAGTGCGAGTGTCTGGATGCGCATTTTTTAAATTTCATGATGCTTTCATTTTTCGCCTTTCACAGTTGGTGATTCGACTCCATGTCAGAAGGCCCAACGAAAGAACAGCGTTGTACCATTTGGTTCTTATCTGGTTCGCTGTAAGCAAGACGGAAGCTATGAAGAGGTGCAGTGTAATGGATCCTCTGGATTCTGCTGGTGTGTGCAGAAAAATGGTACCGAGCTTTCTGGGACCAAAACTAGGGGACCTCTCCTGTGTCCTACTTTAGGTCAGTGTATGAATTTATCTGTATTCGAAGGAGATAGAGAGGTATTTGAAATTCTATTATGCAGTCGAAAATATGACCGCAATTGTAAGTTTTCAAACCTTTGCATCTTGCAATGTGGGTGGTTTAACAGACTCTAACCTGGTACCTTTTGAAATATTTGAAATTTTTAGAGTTTGCGCGGCCTTCAGTGCTTTCTACTTTTCATGTTCATGTTTACAGATATCCGTTTGACACACTGTCAAAAAAAGTTCCTCGACAATTCCAGAAGCCTGCAACCAAATGTGGAAATACCAAGATGTCGGCGCGATGGAAAATTTCAGGAAGTTCAATGTCGAGGAGAGATGTGCTACTGCGTCGACGCAGATAGTGGGAGAGAAGTGAGGGATACAGAAATAAATACGTTAGTTGGGGAACCAAGATGTGGCGATGCTGGTAAAACAATATATAATTTTTCACATTTCAATTCAAAGATTGGAAGCGAACGATTGTGAAATTACATCGTCTGCTAATCAGAGACGATAGTGCTTCACAGTGTAAATCTCAGTGTGTACAAAAACAATTACGACGCGCATTTATTGAGCATCCGTTCCTTCTCTAAAGGTCGAGGTCTAACCCGTTGTCAACGAATGCATCGAGAGGCTTTACGCTCTCTTACCATGAACACTCGAGTTCCACAGTGCAAGTTTGACGGAAGCTTTGAAAAGATTCAATGTCATGGGCTCAGCGATGAGTGCTGGTGCGTGGATCACCAGGGCATCGAGATTGCAGGAACAAGACGCATGGGGCCTTTGCAATGCGCAGGCGTAGGTTTGTGTAAATGTTTTGTATTTGAATGCTAAGACCTTTCGTATTTATTGCTGACCACAAGCTAAATTTTTTTCTCAATTTAAAGAAGAAGATCATGATTATTTAAGGTTGTTGGTGGGCTGATAAACCTATCTAAGCTGAAGGTAATCCTGGTATTTTGCTCAAGTTTGAAATTTGAAATCGAAACATTCCTTCCTACTTAGAATTCTCTGTAACTGACCGAATTCCGAACGGACTACAATAGAAATTAGTAACCAAACATATTTTAGAGGGAGGACTTTGTCCCTTGTGCAATTAGCAGTGGTCTTAAATCTTCGATTTTAGGTGATAGTTGTTACGAAACCTACTTTCCAAGACATGGGAACTGAGTGCACTTTATTAAATTAAATTAGCCGGGTTGCTGTCTCCGACGGTCAGCGTCGACATTTACGTGGGATGTTAAATTGCTTTCTCGCAATCTTTCTATAGGGAAGCCTTTGACACCTTGTCAAATAGAATACCAGAAGTACTTACGGCGTTCATGGCAGTCCTTTAATCGATATGCCCCGCGGTGTAGCCCTGATGGGGCTTATGAAAAAGTCCAGTGCTCAGGAGGAGTATGTTACTGTGTCACTCCACAAGGGAAAGAGATTCCTGGAACAAAAACTATCAATTTGGCCAGACAACCAAACTGCACTCACACAGGTAATCCACGAATATGACAAGTGAACTGCGCTGCACCTTGGCCCGATCGCAATTAATAAAAATAGACGTTTCAGCTCATGTCCTTAATTCTCTCTCAGTGACTGAAATTAAGTCAGCACATTGATGCTGTTATCCGCATTTAATCCATGCAATAGCTCAGATCTACACTTCATTTTTAAAACCTCTGTGGCTTCTGAATTAATGTATACTTTTTTCCCTTTTTATGACGGTTTCCAGATGCTAATATTACACCATGCGAGAGGAAACGTCGAGATTCTATCCATTATTCCAAGAAGTTTGTTCCTTTCTGTAAACCCGACGGGAGTTGGTCTGAGATTCAGTGCGAACTATCTTCGGGGAGCTGCTGGTGCGTGGACAGTGAAGGGCATGAGATAATTGGTTCAAGAAGCACCAGCCTGAAAAGTTGTCCCAATTTTGGTTAGTATTAAATACAGTTACGGTATCCTCCGGTGTCTTATTCTTTCCGTCGTACAATTCCTTTTTCAAACCAAATTTAACTGTGTTGTGTGAGAGGTTTTTAGACACACAGTCTATCGACTCTGTTCTTATTAAATATTTTTTCTTCTTAGTCCAAACGCCTGCTTGAATGTGTATAACCCCTTAGGGTTTCAGAACTGCATGGCTACTATCACCGACGTATGTATGAGAAGGCTTCGTCAAAGGCTTTTCAAACATCTCCGTATTTTTTATTGACTTTCTCCTACCGGTTCTTTTATTTGTCTTCTGAGCTTTATCTGCGCGTTCATACCTCCTAGATAAACTCAGCCCTTGTAGAAAGAGATTAGTTTACTGGTTAAAGAATCCGCATCCAGATGAACATCTCCCTTGGTGTCGAGCAGACGGTTCATTTAATCATATGCAGTGCTATGGCTCTCATTGTTATTGTGTTAATGAGAAAGGAAATGAAATTCCTGGAACCAAGATCAGCGTGTCAGCGGGAAGACCTGTGTGCACCTATTCTGGTAAGTGGCATAAATAGCTATCGGCAGATTGGCATCCCTTAATGTATATCTCCAAACGTCTTGGCGCATCTAAAATAAAAATGTTTTTTTCTTTTTAAGGGGGTCGCGTGACGTCTTGCCAACGTAAGTATCGCGAGGCTCTTTTGCAGTCCTTCCGACCTACCTTGGTCCCACGATGCAAACTTGATGGACGGTACGAAGAAGTTCAATGTCAAGGCTCTACCAAAGAATGCTGGTGTGTTAACCACGATGGGAATGAACGTCCTGGGACTAGGACAACGAAGCCTTTGAAATGCCCCATAATAGGTAGTTGTTGTAGTACTTTCTTCGTAGCAACATAATAGTTCCCACATGCAAGGACAGTAACCGAGATTGACATTTATCAAATGAAAGTTAACAAAAAAATTTAAGAAGATATTTGTCTTAGAAGATGGAAATGTCGATTTAGATTGCATTTTTTTTCCCCAAAAGAATCTCGAAAGCTAAGACACCTGTTTTTCATTTTCCTTTTACCTAAATATTCTAACCCAAACTGTGGACATAAAAATGAGTGACAATCACACATACGATGACTATTACCCCTGTAAGGCAAGAGACAAATTTTGATAATTGCTGTTACTTTTTGCCAACAGGAGCTCAATTATCTAAGTGCCAACGGCGATACAGAGAGTATGCTAAGAATCCAATTCCTGGTCAATTGATCCCTAGATGTAGAAACGATGGATCTTTCGAATCCGTGCAATGTCGAAACCTTGACTGCTATTGCGTCGATGAAAATGGAGACCCGATTGTGGGAACTTCTTTACCTGCTAGGCTTGGAAAACCCAAATGTCGCCTTCCAGGTTTGTCACAAGCTGTTTCTGTTCGTTAAATTTGAATTTCAATTAAGTTACCATTTATGGAGTATTTGCTTTTTACTATGAAAAACATGGTTGAGTAGTGACTTTGTAATTTCGTTTCTTTTGGAAAGGTGAAGATCCTCTTTCGTCCTGTCAGAAACAACATAAGGCTGCTCTTAGATTCCCAGCAACACCCTCCCGCTTCATTCCTGCCTGCAAACGCGATGGCAGGTTTGAAGAGATTCAGTGTCTTCGAGCCACAGGTGAATGTTGGTGTGTGGACGCTTCTGGAAAGGAGATGAAAGGAACAAGGACCACTGGCTACATAATTTGTCCATCGTCAGGTTTGAATTTTGTTTGGATATCTAAATAAATAATCAGTCCCTTGCTTTAAAGTCTTGGGGATCTTGTTACAAGTACTTCGAAAGCTGATGACGAGTAGAGTGAAGTAGAGTAGTTTTAATCACCTTTCCTCCTTGGAGGGTATTTTGAGTCCATTTAAACAAATTTCAGTGGGCTTTGGCCAGACCGCATCAAGCAGTTTACAATTTTTTGAAGGAGTGATTATAACAATGAGTCTGTTGCATTTTGTAGCTGCTTCTCTTACATCATGCCAAATGGAATATCAAGAGAGACTCAGAAATTGGCTTTTACCAGGTCCCTATATTCCTCAGTGCTCGCATCAAGGACAATATGAGCCCATGCAGTGTTATGAATCGTATTGCTTCTGTGTCAATGAACATGGAGTGGAATTGGTAGGAAGCCGAGTAGATAAAACAGAAGGAAAACCAAATTGCAATGATGGAGGTAACTACTTGACGAAGTTTTGCCAACAGTATTCAACTAATTTACTAAAATCTCCAAAAAGCAAGAAGACTTCAAAAATGGAAAAGAAAATTAGAAACTTGGAAAGTAACGAAGCGAGGTTCACCACAGTAGTAGGGTCTTTATTTAAAACTTCAATTTATAAATCAATCTTGCTGCAAAAATCTACATTAGTTAACTAAAATAATGGTTTATGGTTACTTAGGTAGTTAATTCGTTCTTCAAATTTCAGTTTCTACGTTGACGGTGTGTCAGAAACAGTTACAAGACTATTTACGGAATCCTATGCCTGACGGTTTCGAACCGCACTGTAGTAAGACTGGCGCCTTCCAAGAAATTCAGTGCCATGGTCCGTTTTGTTTTTGCGTCAAGCGAGATGGGATCGAAGTACCAGGGACGAGACAAATTCTGGTGATGGGTAAGCCAGTCTGCTCAAAGCAAGGTAATATCCTAAAAAAGGTATTTTAAGTTTTTGATTTCATTATTTTATCTATGCCGATTCTTTGACCGTTATATCATAGTTATATATGCGATTTTTTTTGTCCAATATTAGGTTTCTCATTGACAAGATGTCATAAGCAGCTGCAGGAAGCAATAAACCATTCGCAAGATCCTGACAAATTTTTGCCTCGATGTAAATACGACGGTAGTTACGAAGAGATACAATGCCACAAGGCAACTGGGAAATGTTGGTGCGTAGACCGAGACGGAAACACACTTCCCTCTAAAGCTACAAATAAAAACGTCACGTGCCCATTTACAACTGGTGAGAGCAGAGATTTATTTCCGATGCGGTATATTCTTCTTTAGTGATGCAAATGTAGCTGATGTTCTAACTGTATTGGATACATGTAATAGTTTGCGCTTTTCATATGTTTTTTTTTAATTATATTTTTTCGAAGACACTAAATCATCCTGCTGGAGTCGCTATCAACAAAACGTCAGAAGCAGTCCGGCTGGTTCTCATATTCCATGGTGTAAAGCTGATGGAAGTTTCATCCCTTTCCAAGTCCAGGCGTCTCAGTTTTTTTGTGTAAATAGAAGAGGAGAGGAACTTCCCGGCATGAGTGTTGACATTAGCTTAGGAAAACCAGATTGCCGAGCTGCAAGTGAGTGTTTTTAATAATTACGATGACCCAAAACGAAGAAAATGAGGCAAAATTGCACACTGCTAATTCGTCGTAAGCGTCTGGTGGTTAGCGTTCTCTGTGGCTCAGTGGTAAAGCATCGGAGCGTGGAAGGCGAACTTCCATAGTTGTATTCAGCTTAAATATTCAGATTTATTCCTTGTCTCAAGTTGGGGACAAACAAATGAAATCGAGTTTTAGCGATTCATTTTGTAAGTTCATAAAGGATGTTTAGATGCTTCATCGTGGTCCGATACTAACCCTTCCGCTTCTAAGAAAAAAGTATGCCACATTATCCTCAACAAGTTATATTCTATAAGATAGCAGGGCGAGCCACCAGTGTAATGGCAAACGTTTATCTAAAATTGGTTTGACTTGCAGCAACCCACGGATTCATAGCAACACCGTGCCAACGTGAACGCGCTCGTCGCACCCATCTTTCTTCATACGTTCCCCGTTGCCGGGTTGATGGCACCTATGATGAAGTACAATGTGATGTAAATAATGGTCAGTGTTGGTGCGTGGATCGAGATGGTAGGGAAATAAACGCTACCAGAGATGAAGGTGTTATTCGTTGTCCAACTAAAGGTGAGGTCGATCGTTCACTCAGTCAGTCAGGCAATTAGTCGATCTTTCACTCAGTATGTCAGGCAATCAGTCGATCGATCGATCGATCGATCGATCGATCTGTTACTTAGTCGGTAAGGCAATCAGTCGATCATTCACTCGGTCAGTCAGCCAATCAGTTGATATGTCAATTGTTAGATCGTTCAGCTAATAGTTAGATCGTTCAGACAATTTACTTCTTCTCTTTTTACGCTACTTTAGACCACCAGCAGGTTTTTCCACTAACGAGCAAGGAAAACAAATTTTCATTTTACGTGTCAGACGGTGTCTTTAGAATAAAATTGGAATTATAATTAACATGCTGCTATTCATAGAAAGTCTCACACTTTGCCAAAAGCGTCAAAAGGAAGCCATCAAACGATCCTCAAATGGACCTAACATTTGGAACTTCGTGCCGAGATGCCGTCAAGATGGTGGCTTCCATGAAGTCCAGTGTCATGTGGGGACAGGCCAGTGCTGGTGTGTGGACAAAAATGGAAATGAACGTTTTGGGACAGTGGCGCGGGGATTGCCTAATTGTTCAGGTATGCAAGAAACCGAAAAAGGAAAAAAGATGACACGTCGATGCCACTATCTGGAAACTTAAAACGATGGTCATCAATAATTTGAGAATATTGGGAATGAAGTAGTTAAGCTCTGATCAGAACTTTTGTTGATTTTTAGCTCAATGAGAATCGAATTTTGTTCTGTTCATTAAATATATATACCTTCATTGAATATTTTTTTCATTAATACCACTCATCTCAAATAAACAGATTTATTGATTTAAGGGAAAATTAGACGGTAAATTGGTCCCTAGCTTAACACACTGATGAAAAGCTAGGAGTCTTAATTTGTTAACTAGGAAACTTCACTACTTGTCAGCGTCAAAGAGCACGAGCACTTGGTCTGGCGGGGAATCCACTCCCTGGTGCGTACGTTCCGCACTGTAAACCCGACGGCAGTTACAATGACGTACAGTGTCATGCTTACATTGGTCTTTGCTGGTGTGTTGACGAGAAAGGGGATGAAATACTGGGAACTAAGAAGTGGGGGCGTCTTAGTTGCGTTAGATCCTCATCAGGTGAATATTCCATTAAAACTTTCTATAGGTTAATTATAACCGATGTAATAATTCTCCCCAAATATGAAAGGACAACAAACATCATAGATACAAATTTTCTTCTAACCTCGTCTAGAGATTCCTGATAGTAGTTTAACCTTTCGACAAGGTACGTAAATGTGAGGAAGTTTTATGTGTTATGAAAAGCTTGTATGGCAAATAGAGGTAGAACTTCTTCACTAAATGGCTTATCTTGTCACCTTTCAGACAACTCAAATCCAATCGATCTTGGCATCTTGATTGACTCTTCGGACTCAGTAGCAAAGAAATATTGGCCAAAGATGTTAGAGTTTGTGTCTACGATCGTGGATTCCTTCGACATTTCTGCCGGAGGAACACATGTTGGACTAATTGTATTCAGTCGCGATGCGGAAATACCTCTGTATTTTAATACTCTACAAGGAAATAACCTAACTGCCGATAACGTGAAGAAATTTGTTAGTAATCTTAAGTATATGGAGGGTTGGAGTCGTTTCGATCTGGCTATGTCAGTTGCTGAAGACGAGTTATTCAGCGGGGCGTCCGGAATGAGAAACGGAATACCTAAGGTGAGCATGAGCATTTATTTTAGTGCGAGTGCACAGTGTTCAAAGTTCTTGGACTGTCACACGCCTTTCTCTATTAGTGATACCAAATCAGCATCAGACGTAACGATCCTAATCAGGATTGTCACTCAGCGTAAGGAGCAAAGTGGTCTTGTTCATTTGGCCTCCTTTTTCCTTACTTTTTTTAGGTGTGATCATTATATTTTGAGTCACATATATTTGTTTTCGATCAATAGATCTTACTTGTCTTAACAAGTAGTACACAGGAAAGAAATCAAGGACCCACCACACCACTGTCAGCGGCATCGCAGGGTCTTAGAGATAGGGACGTGTCGATGTATGTGATCGGCGTTGGAGACAAAATAGAAGTCCCCGAGCTACTAGATTTGGCCTCAGATTACAGGAATGTATTTGTCACAAGTAACTTCAACACCCTTCTTTCCAGTGGTGTAGAAGTAACAGCCATAATGAGAAATGGCACCGAAGCTGTTTCAAGAAGTAAGTTCTTTAAGGATTATTTCAGAGCAAAGTTTGGAATTTCTGATGTCTGAATAACTTTTAACTTAACTTTTTACTTAACACGTGGTGCGTGTGAGGTTAAGGCTCGCGATGGTGATTTTGAATTGATAGTTTTGACAATGGTAATTGTCTCTAGAGTGCTGATATATATATTTTTTTTTCACATCTCACACCCTTTTAGACAGGATTTGTAATCTGCCTTCGGAGCCTGGTCAACTTGGCTGTCTGGCATCGATAACTGCACATTACTTTGAAGCCAGCCTAGGAGAATGTCAAAAATTTATTTATAGTGGATGTGGAGGAAATGCCAACAACTTCCCAACCTACAAAAAATGCATGGATAATTGTAAAGGTAGATAAATGTCTTCTCAGGCTTCGAGTTTAAGGTTACTTCCAACGATGAAATCTGTTAAGAGACATAACGGAGAATTCTAAAACTGAAGCTTTTTATTGTTCCAATCGCTTTTGACGTATAGAGCTGAATTCTCATAATCTGAGTGTTTGTCTTGTTGGCAACACATATGAGTTTAGAAACATGTCCATTCACAACGTAAGAACACAATATTAGACGATACCATCGCCACAAAGCAACAGGTGTGGCAACACCAGCGCGTAGCATATTCCATATAACTCATGGAAATTCAATTTTTTCAAGAATAGGTAAGAAGATATGGCCAGAAAAATAAATCAATTATAAATAATATTGACGACCTCTTCTTTACTTGATATAAAGCGTTAAAACAAATCTTTTCAATTCAGATGTCCTTCCTTCCTGTCTTGCCGAGCAGAGACGTGTCTTTGGTTTGCAAGTGGGTCATTTCGTTCCCAAATGCAAACTAAGTGGTAGATACGAAAGCATGCAGTGTTACCGAAAAACAGGCTTTTGTTGGTGTGTTGACGAGTACGGCAAAGAGTTGCATGGAACCAGGGTCAAAGGAACCCCTATTTGCAGCATGGCCGATGGTAAGCTGAGTAAGGTGGTGATATAAAGCATGCCCTACATTAGGTCCGCTGTCTTATGTTATCGCTCTCAACACCTCCATACAGATAAGCACTGAAAACACTGAAAATTTGCACCTGTACGACAGATATGGGTTTCAGAGTTCTCAAGTATTTCCTCAACCGAGCGTTCTTTTATTGAACACTTAGAGTCTAAATTAAGTTTGGAAACCCTACGTCACGTGTTTAATGCAGTATCGATTTGGGCCCTGGTCGGGGTTCATTAGTTGAAAGACAGTCCTACAGTATTTTGTATTAACATAAATTCATGCCATTTCCCTTCATCAAGCGTCCAGAAAATTAACTCCTTGTCTTGAAGAAAGAAGAAAAGCCTTGGGTTTTAGCGGCGTTCCATCTATCGGAAAATTTGTCCCAGAATGTAACCCGGATGGAGAATATGCAGAAGTACAATGCTTTGGAAACACCAACTTCTGTTGGTGCTCAGATAAAAGAGGATACGAGATTCATGGTACACATCGCTGGGGTACTCCGAAATGCCCATCCAGAGGTGAGTGGAAAAGTGATGGGCGGTTTTTTATCTCACATCTGTTTGGATAGTCAGTAAATGCCGTGTGCGCTTTTTTCCAGTTCATCGGGGAATATGTCCATTCGTATCAGACCCGAAGAAGTGTCCAGCGGAAATGAGTGAACAGACATGTTCACAAGACAGTGATTGCTCCGAATTTTCAAAATGCTGTTACTGTGGTTGTGTACGGCGTTGTACTCCTATTTTATCAGATGAACCAGGTGACTAAATGACTTTTAAAATCACCATTTGATTTCTTTCTAGTGCTTAATTTATAGGTCACGCTAGTAAACGGTTAGAAAGATTTTTCGTTGTCATATTGAACCCTTTTGTTCCTTCCTTACAACTGGTTTCATGTGGTATTCTAAATCATGTAATTCTAATGCATTATCGATCTTGTTTACTCACCGGTAGAAGTATCAGATTGTGCCCTTGAAAATGAGAAGTCGCTTTCAGCGGCATGCTCACACGTCCAAGTTAGTGGCCGTTTCCATCCAAAATGCAAGGTTGATGGTAGTTACGAAGGTTGTCAGTGTCTTGAGTCTAGTGGTGTCTGCTGGTGTGTTGATAGAGATGGAAATGAAATCCCGGGAACTAGACAAACTGGAAAACCAAACTGCACCATGCCAGGTACTGTGACAAAACTAAAATAATTGCTACAATTTACCAAATGATACAACAGGAAGGGCCCTATTTGCAAGTGTTGCTGTTATTTTCAATTATTTCCTTTTTGAAGTTTCTTTGACACCGTGTCAGAAGGAAAACAAGAGGGCTGTAACTATGCGTAGTAGAACAGTGGTCGGATTGATTGTCCCAAGATGTCTATCAGATGGTTTGTTTGACCCGGTACAGTGTAACAATAACACTGGATTCTGCTGGTGTGTTGACAAGCACGGAAGTGAACTAGTTGGGACTCGGCAGTGGGGAAGACCAAACTGTACTGATATAGGTATGTCGATTGACAACTTACTACCATGGATTAAAAATGTGACGTGTCGTAGTGGGGGGAGGGGGTTGCATGCATTTTTACCTCTTTGAACCGCTTTTTTGTGTCCTATAGACCGTGGAGGGACTTGTTTCTCGATACTTTTGCACTACAGTATTCCAAAAGATGTTGCTTTGCACCTGAAATTACACGGGGAGTATATCATCTGGGCCATAGAAATGGATCTTTTTTCGAAAAGGTGCCAGCCTCAGCCAGCAGACACGATTAGCATCCCATCATTATCAACTTCATCGTCATCATTGTCATCATCATTATTATCTTTATCATTGCAATTGTCATCATGGTCATATTATTGTCATCTTTATTATTATCACTATTATTGTTATTATATGATATAATCTCCTAACCGATTTTCATTTATATCTGTTCCCTAACAGATAAAAGAGTTACTGTTTGTACCTCCCGCCGGGAAGAATGTCTTGGCAACGCCCCACGCGGACATTTTGTTCCCCGCTGTAAGGCTGATGGCTCTTTTGACGATGTGCAGTGTCTTCAAGCAACAGGAGAATGCTGGTGTGTTGACACAAACGGGGAAGAAATACCGGGGACCCGATCTATTGGGAAGCTGGACTGCTCTGTAATTGGTAAGCAGAGGTTGGATTGGTGAGATACAGAAGGAAATTTGAAGGTTCTAGGTTTACCAGGTCTAATTTTGTTATTAATCAAGGTTGAGCAGGTGATGCATAAGAAACTGGCAGAGTGCTTAGCTCGCAGATGCTTCCTGTAACTTAACCAAGTAGCGAACTATCTTCAGCTTCTACATATCTCAGTTACCCAATTTTTTTTTACCCGTGTTTGGCACAAATGATCTCAAGAATTTTCATTGACGTGGCGATTTGCAAAATCAAATGGAGTATGAGAACCTATTAGCACGCTTATTTTGATCGCTCTCGAAAAATTTTGCTTCTTTTCGCGCCAGTCGTGAAAACACAATAATACTTGTTGAAGAACATTGCTCGTTTTAGTCACTAAAACCAAGAGAACTACTATTTGAGGGGTTGGTTAATCCGATTGCAAAAGTGTAACGGCATGATCTAATTTTACCAAAGCCTGGCTGAGTCCGTGTCAAATCCAGCGTCGTCAAGCTCTGGGTCTTAAAAGCGTACCAACTGTGGGAGTGTATGTCCCTGAATGCAAGGCCGATGGAGGCTTCGAGGCAGTCCAGTGTAACATGGCAGCAGGGTACTGCTGGTGCGTCGATGACAGTGGCACTGAAGTAAAGGGGAGCAAAGTTAGAGGCAGACCCAGATGTGGTAAGGCCATTTACAATTCAAGGGGCTTAGAATCCCATGTAAACGAGAAAGCTTTTTTGTGGCTGCTGCCTCCTATAGGAAGCGAAGCCAGATATGTCGCCGGAATGAGTGATTGAATTAGTGATAGTAACAACAGAATTCCGATCTTGACCCAAGAAGATGCCAAACATCTCACAATAATTTCAGGATGGCGCGTGAAAAAAGGAAAGGCTTTCCTTGCAGAAATATATTAAAGGTGTGATTGACGTGTCATGAAAACTTAAAAGAAAATATTTTCTTTGAGGAGTGAGCATGTTACCGTTTGCATTAGCAAATTTAGCCAAGAAGATCCGAACATATAATTTTTTCATTTCTTGCCGTGACACAAAAAGAAAAATAATAATAATTCAGAGGCAAAATTAAACGAAGCATAGTTAAATCATTATTGGAGCACAGAGGATAGACCGAAACGGGAATAGTGAAGTTCTTGAGCTAGCGCCTGTAGGTTATCATTACTATTTTTATCAGTATTATCATTATTATGATTATTATTATTATTGTACTATTATTATTATTATTATTGCTATTATCAAAATACAATTGATAAAATGAATATACGAAATTTCATAAAAATTCAAAATCATGTATAATACAAAAGCATTTAGCTTGAAAATGTCCCTTAAAAAACTTTAGATGCCCGCAGTGGCGACGCAGTCTAAGGAGTGTTCTATCTTGCTGTGAAAATGCGTTCGTCAACCTCTCACACATGCGTGTACCGATCTTATAACGATAACGGTGCTATACGGCTCGGTGTCCTTCTGAGCTATCTTATCTGCAAGATGCTTCAGGAAACGCTGACACTCATTTCCCATTCCGCTTTTGGTTCCAAACACTAAAGGTGTGAATGAACCCATCTCTACATCTAGCACCCGCTGCAGGTACTCGCGTTTCTTCTCGTCCTCTTGCTCCTTGAATACTTCGATTTTTAGAGTTTGGATTCTTGTGGCCGACTTTGGATTATGGACCCTAGTCGCCGAGGTTGATTTTAGACTTAAATGTCCGATTATCGATTCGTGGCCTTCGATTTTGGTAACATAGGTCACATAGTAAACATAGGTCACATACAAATGGAATTGCAATAAAATAAGGAAGATGTTTATAATTAACAGGGAAAATTTAAATAAACATAGCTTTATCATTATTAGAGCCTAGAAACAGGGAAACCGTGAGGCTTTGGAGCTGGGACCGCTAAAGTATTATTATATTACTTTTGTCATCATATTGATAATTGTTAAAATCATGTCTCTCTTGTAGAACAGCGTACTCATAAATATATGAGATGCAGCAGGTTTTCTGTTCTGCATGTCACTTCATATCTTCTGCAACACTACCTTTTAGCGTCATTATACAACTTTTAGTTCTTTCCAATGCTTTAAAAATTGTGCTTTATCAGTAGCCACATGCAGTCTTGGACTGTCTATTTTTGTTGTTGTTGTTGTTGTTGGCGAATTGCCGACACACACATTTTTTAATCGTCCTGTCTCGGTCATACAAATTTTGCGCTGCCTTTGTAGCTAAGTTAGAAAGATATATGCTTATTCCTTGGGGGTTAAATTCAAGCTCAAGCGAAAACTCCTCCTCCCACTGCCCCCTATTTGATAGAGAAATTTCCCATCTTGAAAAGTTGGCATCTCTTTAAAAAAAGTACACTTCCTCAGCACTATAATTTTTGCCATGAGATAGACCGTCAACGCAGCGCATTTGGATGCCTTGAAATCTGCTCTCTTTTATCCTTGTTTTAATTCCTCAAGGAAAAGAAAAATTGTGCAAGAAGAGGTTCGACGAGATACTGTCATCCTTCCCTGCAACTCCTTTGGGTTTGTTTGTACCGAAATGTTTAGATGATGGTGGTTATCGAGCTATTCAGTGCCATAACTCTACCGGATACTGTTGGTGTGTGGATGACTTCGGGAACGAATTAGCTGGAACACGAGTTAGAGGACAGCAGAATTGTTCAGGTGAGTCTTGTGTTTTTTTTCAAAGTTGACATATTTTCAAAGGATCATCAATTTTTTTTTTTTACGTTCTTCATATTATTATGATAGCATTATCCACCACCCTATAGCGATTTGTACTGAGAAAATCTGAATCATCAGTTTTGTAGGATCCCATTTCTCACAACGTTGCCTTATTCATGAAAATCGGGTCAAGGGTAACTCTGTCAGTCTGTGGGGGTGGGGGAAGGTGACTTTTACGGATTTAAACTTTAAGTTGGCTTATCTGAGGAAAATTCTAATTGCTCTGAAGGCATTATTTGAACTCATTTTAGCTGATCCCATGTCTAGCTAACTTTTTAGTATCTTTACCGAAGTTTTCCAGAAAGTGCTTTCAACGTAACTTTAATGTTGTTCGTGTATGTTCGGGGTGTGGCCATAAAACTGACACCTCCCTACATCCTCTCTAGCTTCCACAGATCAAAAATTTACCTTGTGTCAAAGCCGCTACAACCACGCCTCCGAGATAAACGAGCGTGGTCGGCCCGTGCCACTCTGTAAAACTGATGGATCATTTAAAACAACCCAATGCAACTCAGTGACCGGAGAGTGTTGGTGCGTTGATGTGGAAGGAAATGAGAAGCCCGAAACCAGAAAAGTTGGGGATCCAAACTGCGAATCTAAAGGTAAATTTAATAGCTATCAATTACGAATTTGTTAGGCCAGAGCTGTATTACCTTTAGGCGTACATAGTTGCCAAAATAAGAAGTGCAGTAGTCCTGCAGATTTACTCAGAATGCGTGAACGTCCCGCTTGACCTATTGTTTGAAGTCGTGAAATGTCTGTCAATTATAGATGTTGAGACAAACTGCCAGCTTCTGCCAGACCCAGGACCATGCGAGGTGTTTGAGCCGTCTTGGTTCTTCAACAAGACTAGCGGAGTGTGCGCAGTATTTACTTATGGAGGGTGCAAAGGCAACGCCAACAGATTTACTAGTTATGATGAGTGTCAAGCAGATTGCCATGGTACGTAAAATGTGACAGAACTTACTTAGTAATGATATGCATTCAGATCAATTTTGCCTTTGTGAACGATAAAATTACATACGACAGGATCAATAAATTTCCAAGATTGATTTACTGATAACTCGATTTTAGCTGATGCTGTCTTACGCCATTATCATATAATATGTCTCTCTTCGTTTACAAGCATATCTTTGGAATTTTTAAGACAGAACAATAAATTAAGAAAAATCAATTAACAAAATCAATGAAACAAATTTCTATCTTTATTTTCAGGTCGGAATTTAACTTTCTGTGAATTGCAACGCGAGATAAACACCGCGAGCTCCAACGGTTTCATTCCTCGCTGTAAAGATAACGGGGATTTTGAGCCTTTACAGTGTCAACGTACATTGGGCGAGTGCTGGTGTGTAGACGAGTCTGGCATAGAGTTGCCTGATTCTCGAACGGGTGGCACGCCTGATTGTAGCGGAATAGACGGTAACATTTTTAATCATTTATGTATGTCTAACAATTGTGTTCATGCTTGTAGATTTTTAGGAGTCGTTAAGGAGGGAAAGGGGTGGGGAGGGGGGTGGGGTTGATTATGTAGCACTAAAAATTTTTTCCAATTTTGTCTACAAATAGTTTTCAAAACTTTCTAATATTTTCATTGCATACCTTTATTTCAACAGCTATCGGAGGACGACGAAACAGATGAAAGATGACCACTGTAAAGTAAAAATTCAATTAACAACTGTAACTGATCCATCTGAGCATTGCTTGCATTGTTTGCCGAAAAGCATTAAATAAGTGTTTCATTCTTTTGGAGCAAAGAATTGCTGAAGCAACCATCTAGGGCCTCACGCTTTAGTCCTAAACAACATTTCAAACTTACTTTCTTGGTTAACACCCCTTTAACAACTTTTGATTTAACCCCTGGCGTAGCAAAACAGTTTTTCCCTTGGTCAATCTCAAGTTAAGGAATGACCTGTCTGCTGATCTTGTAGAGAGGCTTTTTCAAAAACAAATCATCTAATTCTTGAACTTGCATAGCTTGCGAATTTTGGTTTAATGCGCAAGAAACCAGCTTCTTGTCGCATGTTTGTGCCTTCTCGCTGTTGGGTCCCCTTCCAATCACTCTTGTAGTAAATTCAAGTGCTTGCAAAGCAGGCTACGGCATGTAACACTTATCAGCAAACTTTTCACTTTAATGTGGTAAAACTGTACATTTTCACTTGACTCATCACCTCTACATCTCTATCATGAGGTTCCCAACGGGGTGATGGCTTTTACGGCTAACGGTTAAATTCTGGTCATTTACGGATGACTGTCAACCCAAAATGACACATGGTGGAAAGGAAAATTGCTATACTTAACTTCTTTTGAGACTAACGGTTAAAATTGGTCAATTTTACGCATAACGAGTTTCTTTTTGGTCATCTATCGAACGGCTATTAGTTAATTCCGTTGAAACCCTCTATCAGGTGTCACGTAAGTGTAGTAACAAACTGATTTCCATATTCATACCGAAGTGGACCATTTTTAAAATTGTGTTCGCTAGCATTACTATAGCCTAAGAAAAGAGGTTTTCCCTGCATTCAAATATTTGCTCCTTAGGTGTTATAAAGCACGATAGTCCTAGGTTAGTCACAGATAAATATATTATCTTACAAGTTTCGTCCACGTCGATAAGCTTTAAGGTTTCACAATTATTTGTATGTATTAACCTTTGTATGGTAAGGTATGTTAGGGTTGAATAAATCATAATTTTTCTGCTCTATGCGGTTGTCAAATGTGGCGCTTGTTAAATGAGCAAAAAGACGCAAATTTAGCAGCAATTAGGTAAAGAAACGGTCCCAAAATTACACAACCATCATTATTTTCGTCGAGACACACAAACGCACCTGCAAGCTTGCGTGTATGTATGCACATATAGATAGATACCTAATGTTTTTTATGTTGCAGGTTAGGCAACCAATCAAAGCTAATCTGGACCTGCTAAATTACCAAGGAAAACGAAATGAATAGTTGAATAAGTAAATGGATAAATAAGGAATAAAATGATTAAAAATAGATAGTCAAATCCGAACTATACACTTTGATCTATGGTTTCGCATATTTTGGTGACCCACTTTCTTCTGACTGCCAGGGCAGGAATTAATACGTCCCTTACTACTTCAGTTATTTGCCAAAGCAACGCCAATAAATGCGATGTTTTACAGTGCTGTAATCAAATAGGTGGCGGATCTGAGTGTTATGACTGCTAAGCTGTCTGTGTCTGAAGAGCGTGTTTTCTTATCTTCACACCTTAATATGGTGCATCTTAATGGTTTGCTAAAGCGTGAGAGCTTTGTGGCATATACCACAGGACTCACAAGAGAGCAGAACGTCTTAATAAATCTCATTAAAAGAACTGCATTGCATGGGAAATCCCACGTTAAATACGATGTTCCTTCCAAAATTTCCACCGGCAACCACATCGCAAAGTAGATAATCGCGCAAAGTGTAAACGCCCTCGAAAGATAAAAGTTTTGTGTTTGTAACTTCCAAACGGTGGCATTTCGATTAAACGAAGGTCGTTTCCAAATTAAAATGTAATTGGTGACGATAATGGTCAAGTTGATAATCTCCACAAACCATACCACCACTTTAGCGATAAGAACCCGATAAAGACCAGCCAGGGCAAATGCGAAGGTCATGCTTACCGCCATCGACAAAATCCAGATTAAAAAATTAGCCGTCATGTAGCATCTGAAACGAGTGAAAATGTGAGTTAGAGGCCAGAAGGTCCTGTAATACATGTCTAAGGAGATTGCAGCCAAGAAAGAGGTCGAAAAAGTGTCGCAGAGCGTTTGCAAAGACAGATGCAGTTCGTCATGATTCAAACTGCAATGATGTCCATCTGATCGCAGCAAACCTAAGAAAATCGCGATAGCAGCCAAGCCTCTAAGAATGTCCGTGAATGACAGGCTAATCGCAAAGTATCTGACAAGTTTGAAACGCCCTCTTATAAGAAAAGCAATGGCATAAAGATTTCCCAGAAGTATCAGAGTGGCCTCTGTTATGAAAACCACACACCACGCAGTAAGCACTTTAAAACCAAACGAATTTAGTTCTTTGTTGGAGAGGCTTGACGAACTGGTCTCCATTGAAAAGTTCATGCTGTGGAAATGAACAAAAGAATGAACAAAATATGAAGAGAGTCCAAATGAAAGATTCAGATTTATTTGGAGGGATGATAGGCTCCACGCAGTCATGTAAACAGACAATGGAAGAAAGAGGAGTTTTATCAATTTTTTGATTTTGAGTGAAAATGAGAAGAGAGTAATCTTTATTGTTATTAGAAATTCAAAAAGAAGGTTTTGAGGTTGAAATCTCTTCCTGCTGGGCTGACATACTGAGTATACTTTACATATTAATCAGTCGATCTTCGACGTCTCGGTTTGTAATCAACCTTGGAGATCTCCCTTCGAAATCATTTTTAGGGAAAAAATGCTGCGGTAATTTTACTTGAGAGAGAATAAACGTTTGTCGACACATTATCTCCTATCTAAGCAACTGAAGTTTTGGTCCTCCTAATGAACCAAAGTGCATTCATTATTTATTATTTACTTCATCAACCCTTCCAGCAGATTTTCTCTTTGCTTGAAAAACATACTTCAAATAAATCACCACTAATATTTTGGACATTTCTCATTTGAAATTACTGTTCGTGACCTCTTTCGTTCTAGAAAATCAATTTTCTCTACGAGACTTATTCTATAATGACTGACTGAACTCGAGAGGAAAAAATTATGCTCCATTGCAGTGAAAGCGATAAACTCGTTCAGCATAATTATACAAATAGAAATTGCGTAATAAGAAACTTACCTTCAACAATTCCCCTTTTTAACAACTTAACCTTAATACTTTAAATGGTTGGGAAATGTTTAAATTCCAACTTGGAATTCTTTTATATTCCCATATATAGTGCCGTTTGAGTTTCTCAAGTTTAAAGGACACTGCATATGTATAAAAAACAGCACGGAAATTCTGGTCTAAAAATAACTCACATGCGATTGGTGGAAGTTTTATTTATTTTTTCTTGAGTTTCCTGGATACCTTGTTTAACCCTTGTTTCTTATTAGGGCCCGTCTGGTCTCGAAAAGCAAAAAAAAAGTAATAGAAATACTGCATAGGTGAGAAATGAACGGATTTATCAATAAGAGCAACGTCAACCGATATTTTTTTTTTAGCCTCCAAAGGCATAAACTGCAACCACCCCTAAAGAGACTCATTGCATAAGTTTATTCAAATCAATTTTTATTGTGATTCTTATAACTTACTCCATCATACGAAAATTACTTTTTTAAAATACGTGATCGAATATGAATAAAAATTTAATGTATGATAAGTTTTGAGTTTCCTAACTCTAAACTGTAAATTTAACGATGTTTGTTTTAAGGATTTTCTTTAGATTCAATTTATAATTTGGAGAGGCACATCCTCTATGCGCTATTTCCTGTCTGTTGTCATTGTAATCGATTCAAGCGAACACAAACGCTTTCTTAGAAAGCCTTTGTTTAAAGAAATATAATTATATTGGGTGTAGGGTTTTCAGATAATGAACATTTCTCAACCACTTGAGCTTGGTAATTAAAAAGGAACAATCTAAAGGAAAATATTAGAACCACACACAAACATAATCTGCCATGCCTTTTCTCTTTGGGATGGCTTCAAAAAAATACTAGTTTTGAACATCTTTTAATATGAATTTAGCCTCCAAAAGGGAGAGATAAATTTGGGAGAAACGGCGAATTTACATGAAAGATGTGCAGTTTTATCGAACTGTTATCATGGACCGTTCTCTTTGCAGCAGAAACTCTAGCTATAATCGCAGGAAATATCATCACCGTCATTGTCTTCTGGAAAATGAGATCTGATTTCAAGAAGACATATTACCTTCTGATAAACCTCTCTATAGCCGATTTGACAGTTGGGATTTCGGCCTTGGAAATAACTATCGCAAAATATTTTCTTGAAGAAATTCTTAGCCTTAGATGTCCTCGCCGAGAGTACCTCTTAAGTTACATTGATGTTCATCGCTCTAGAAAGATTTTACGCAATAACGTATCCTTTGAACCACAGAACCTTAACCAAACGGGTTTATGTCCATGGTGTTTTGTGGCCGTGGGCTTGTGGTATGTTAGTCGCACTGATCAGCTTCTCTCCAGAGCTCCTTCCCGATTCAGCATTTCCCCTCGTTGCCCCTCTGATTTTGACATCTCTGGCCGTGATCGGTGTGTTGGCCGTTAGCATTTTGTACACGTTCATCTGGATTTTCTCGAGAAAACACGATCCTCGAATACCGCGAGAAAGGCGCGAGCAGGACAAGAGACTTGCCAAAACCCTTTTCGTCGTGACATTGACCTCTGTTGTAACCTGGATGCCATTTGCTTTGATGCCCGTTCCACTGCAAGAAATTCATGAAATTTGCAACATGCACATCAGGGCTTACTTTGCTGGAAGGCTTTTTCTGTTGGCAAATTCATTTCTCGATCCAGTTGTTTATTGTTTCCGCATTTCAGAATTCAAGAAGATTCTTAGAAGAATGTTCAGTTGTAGCAGGGTGGGGTAAACTCAAATTGACTCGAAAAGTATTTGTATAGTTATGGAGCTGCCGCGATTTGTCTAAAAACGCCTTATTGTGCTTTTTTTTCCCGCATAGTACTGAGATATAATTGTGTTTAGACGGTTTTCACTAACTTCCAAATTATTTCTATTCGCTTTTAATAGTTTTCACAACTGGACTCTACTTGTTATCCATTTTTCCATTGCTTTCTCATTTTTTAAAGCTACGTGCTGCAAAGGTGGTAAACGTAAGTAAGCTGGAACGGAGCAGCACTGTTTAAAGGAAAAAAATTAAATTAAATTCACCTCAATAGTAGCCTTTTTCTACCGGTTACTTCGTGCTTTTATGTTTGTAATTTTAATCTGGAAAACGGTTGTTATTGTCAAAGTTTCTCGATTTTTCTTAACTACGACAACTCTTGCCTGAAGCTTCCGCAAAACAAATAATGTGGTAAAATTACGGTCAAAGAGTTATAATTTAGCGTCTGCAACCTTGAACTTTACAACACAATTCTTCGATATGTTATGATAGCTTACAATGAACCTGTCAAATTTAATGTTTTACGTCGAGAGTAATTTCAGCTTCCTAATTTAAGTCCGGAAATGTCAAAAAAAGGTTATTAAAAAAAATCCATACTCTTCGTTTCCATGAAGCGAGTAGTTTTAATTAATTACGCCATACATGAATCCCACATTCTCGCTTTTGCAACTCTTCACGTTACAATATGCATTTGATGGATGCGCAATCAATATGATTACTGATGACAATAGGTCCCAGTACAGAAAAGGTGAAATTAATATTATTCATGAAGTTTCCATTGAAACTATATTTATTAAACGCGGAAGAAAGTTGAAACAAAACAAACAAACAAGACAAATTTTCGTCAAAATGAAAAGAAAGGTAAACGATGATTTATTTTGGTCGAAAACTTTAATGAGAACATCAACTGTGTTCTTATATTGGTATACTTTATGTTCATTTCGATAGGATATTCTATGGATGAGCAAAACCGTTAAAAAAAATGGAACCAGAAAAGTGAATCTATTCTGAAAAGAAAGAACACTTACTTAAAAATGTGCATTTCTAGCGAGTTCTTTGCGTGGACAGCTCTCTTCATAACAGTGACCATTGCTATCATCGGAGGAAATATCATCACCATTATTGTCTTCTGGAAATTGAGATCCGTTCTAAAAAGAACTTATTACCTTTTGATAAACCTTGCGATCGCTGATTTAATTGTTGGTTTTGGAGGGGCTGTATTCACAAGTACGAGCATTTTGAAGCTTAACAGTACAGAAGAAAGTCCAGCGTCTACAATTGCTAGGTTCTTACGAATGGATGTTTTCTCTGGTACCGCGTCTTTGACGACTTTGTTATTTATCGCCGGAGAAAGATTTTTGGCAATTGCTTTCCCTTTTCTTCACAAGGTAATCACAACACGTTTCTACATGAAGTGCATCGCAGTGGTGTGGATTACTTCTTTTCTTATGACCGGAATCATTTTCTCGTCAGGCATATTTCCTACTTCTTTTTGCCGCACCATTTCCCGAGGAATCCTCGGTTACTTTACGATCGTCTGCTTGATCGCCATAAGCGCTTTATACACCGCGATATGGGTGGTCTCCAGAAAGGTGAATGTTCGAATACCTCGAAATAGACGAGATCAGAACAAGAGACTTGCTAAAACCTTGGCTATTGTGACACTTACATCTCTCATTGGTTGGATTCCCCTTTCAGTACACACCGTCACTCCTTTCTCTAAAATAGATGGAAACTGCTTCTTATCCGGACCACGTATCATTGCACCTTTCCTTCAAATGGCAAACTCTGTTATCAATCCATTAGTGTATTGTTATCGCATGTCTGAATTTCGCGCAGTTCTTAAACAAAACTTTCCAACGTGCAGAAACTCCATCGGAAGATTCCGAGGCAGCTATGAATGTACCTAATCCTTAACTCAAGAAATGTCACTAAACTTGCATTCACCTAAGAGCGGATGTTTTTTGTTCAGACCACAACTGGTCTCCACAAACAGTTTTACTTACTTCATATGTATATATTTATGTATCATTAAGAATCTATAGTAACCTTAAGAAATGTCTCTAAAACTTACCCACTCCTCAATTTAGCGAGAGAAAAACTTTTCCGAACTCTCTTTAATAGACTGTAAGATGATTGACATAGTCAGTACAGAGTTTTCATAATTTTAAGATTTACTTTCTTTTGGCAGCCGAAGCTATCGCTGCGCCATCAAAAGCTTCTTTTAGTTTTAAAGAACGGTAAGAAGTGTTAATCAGCTTAAGGTAGAGGAAGTGCTTATTTGATATGTATCTGCAGATGCACGGCAGAAGTTTTTCCAAGAGAAATTTTTTTAATTCTCTTGTTTTTCTTTTAAATTTAATTTGAAATATAATTTACGAACCATTCAGAGTTGCAACAAAAGTAGGTATGATGGGGAATGGCTTCGTTCTCCTCCGGACTCTCCTCCTGAATTCGCCACTGCGACGAAGTGAAAACTTCATTTTTACGAAAACGTCTGACTGTTCAAGTAATATATATTTAAATTGCGCAAAGACAATAGAGGCTGAGATCTCTGCTCGGAGCTTATAGCGTTTCTTAAATCTAGATTTAAGGGCAGACTTAGTGTGCTGATATTACCTTCAACTCATAGCACAGAGTCATACCACTTCTACAGAGATGAATTATCACAACTGATTTAAATATTTTGAAAATTCAGGCAGGCAAAAGTTTCATTTTAAAAGTCTGAGGTGGATTTATAGGTTTAGCTGCCCAGGTTTATTGATGTAATTGATTGTTGTGCCCAGATGCCACCTACTGGTTCACGAGAACTGCTTGGTCAGTTTGGCTATGAAGTTAGGGTTGCATGACACAAATTGCGTCTTCAGCCAAGAGCAATTATGAACGGTTCGTTTGTTTTGTCTATCGTGTGATAACTCTGAGTTATTTTCTGATTTTCTTAGAAATTTTTAGATTAACCAAAATCCTCAAACACCCTAAGATGACCAGTTGTAGTAATGGCTGATCTTGGTTTAAGGGCTTCTGCAGTTGATTACCATCACTGCAGGCTAGCCCAGATAACTTATTTACCAATAGAATGTTACCTCATTGATATGAAAGAACAACATCTGTTATCATCTGTTAGCAAGAAGTGGTTTGAATATATATCGAGACGGGTTCAAGTTAAATATATTGTCAAAATGTATCCCATAGTGTTTTTTCCGGGCTCAGATGAATGCAGAAAATGCCCTGTATTCCTGCTGGGTCTTCGTTCTCATTTACAGCCTTCTGCTGCTTGAAAAAATCTTCCCAGTGTGCTCACGGAAAATATAATCGGATCTTTCGTTTCTTCTTGGTGTCGATAAAGTGCATGAAAAAAGTCTCTGATAAAGAAAAAAAAGTCGATAGTTGGACAACCTGTCATTCTTGAAACCTATTCTATTTATTTGTTTTTGATTGTGCAGTTTTACCAATGGAGAAGTCAAATATCGAGTTTGTTGAAATTACCTAATGGTAAGCTGAAAACTGTTTGACTCTATCAAAAAATAACATCCTTCATCAATTTTTGGATAGTTTACTTTGAATAACAAAGATAACAGGAAAGTTCAATTAAAATAACAAGTTGGTTCTCACTGGTGACTCGACTCATATTCATTCTGAATGCAGCTGTTTCGAATATATTATGTTAGATATTTGTTGTGAGGTGTGGCACTGAAATCATAATCAAACAGAATTTGCGCAGATACGAGGTTGAATGCTTGTTTCAAGGACCTTTTATCCGTATGATAACATATGCACCCTAAATACTGTTCCGTATATACAAAGCTAAAGCCTAATCTTGTTCTACAGAGGAAAAGGTTTACATTTTCTGTTACCATCAGTATCAATTTTAACCGGAATAACAATCACATTCCAGCAATTATTCTGTTTAACTAAGCACTACTCACTGGTCGCACTATCTTCACGCATTTAAATTCCAAAAGAACGGAACGTGCTCAAACACGGCTACACTACCATGGATATCAACATTAACAATAGAAGCATTTGCGGAAGCAAATTGGAAGCAATATGACTCTTAATGGAAGCCCACAGATAGAATGAGAAAAGGTAAGGCAGTAGCCATTGAACACGTTTTTCATAGATCAGTCTATTTGATATCTTGACGACCAGAGCTTAATCATTGCCCTTTGCGTTTTTTAAGGGAACTTGGGAGAACACAATCTTAAGAAATCTAAAGTTTGCCACTGCTCCAGTCTCCGGACACAAGATGAAGTCCGGAGAGAAAGTTATTCGTTTCTATCTCAGAATATTCCTTTCATAAAAACCATTTCCAAGTATGAAATTGCAACAGGTATCACGGACTGAAACAGGTTCGTACCATGCTAAACTTTGTATGTATTTATCACTTTTAAAAATGATGACTTTCTTGAACGAAGAGTCAGTACTTTCGTCCTGAGAGGAATATTTTCTTAAATCTTCTATGAATCTTAATTCAAGTAGAGACAGTTATATTTACAAGAGTGTTATGATTTGATGCCAACCCGTCTAGTTTAGAATTCATATTATATTCGTTGTTACTATATAAGCTATAGTTTACTTCATCTTTTTTCCATTCTAATTAGAATCATTACGTCTCACCGTTAAAAACCACTGAAAGAAAAATTAACATATTGCCCCAAAAAATTGGTTTCCCTTTTAGATCGCATTCTTAAGTTCTTTTTTTAGAGAATTTCCTGCAATTTTTTAAAATTTACAAAAGAGTAGATATTTGAATCAGAGAAATGCAAATGTCAAAATGTGAAGAAAATGTTAAATATCAAGTATTAGATTTTTTCTTAAATTTTAATGAGAAGGTAAATTAAAATGTATGTTAATGTTTATGTACATCACTAATACTTGAAAGACTTTTTTTTTCAACCTTCGTTTCGTATCGTGAAAGTGGGATGTGAGACACCGACAGAGATAGCACCTTGATGAGAATGTTATCT